ATTGCGGATTGGGTGCTAATCATGTCGCACCTACCATAAGGCAAAGCTGACCTTCCCTATTCCCTCCATTCCTCTGCCCAAGCCCCTTCGTGATAAATCTCTGCAGATACAACTAATTGCAGGAGGAACAAACACATCTTCTAAATGGTTGCATCTTAACAAAAAGTTGGACTATTGCAGTTGGCAAAGCAAAAAAGCCCCCGTATTCCCATTCAGAAATGTGTTTGATTGACACAGCTAGTGAGAGAATTTCCTCCCATCCTCTTTCCTTTCCCTGCTTTTGCAGTCCTCACCACCCACCCCCACCCCGCTGGCTCTAATTCCCCACGTGGTGGCCTCTCCGTGTTATTCTTCAAGGCTTCTCCCCAAGGCTTTCATCTTTGCCATCAGAACCATAGCAACCTCATCAGCGTCGAGATCCTGCCTAGCGACAGCGGTGAGATGCTTTTCATGGCCTGCCCTCAATGGGGAAACTCGGGAGGAACCAGCCCGGGGAGGCAGCCCTCCCCGGCCGGCCTTCCGGCTTCACAGGAGGAGCCTCCCCTAGCTCTGCCAGAGGAAGAGCAGCGGGCAGCCCAGCTCAATAGCCGGAAGGTAGAAGAGAGCTTCCAACGAACCACAAACCAGCCAGTTGCAAGAAGCAGCTGCCGCAGTCTATTAGATGGACATTTTTGGTCTCTGCTTTAGCCCTCCCTAACTTGGGTGGTTTGTGGTTTTTTAATTGTTTTCAGCCAACTTAGCGGTAGTTATAATAAAAGCAAAAGTAATAGTAGGATTTGGGTCAACCCAATGGGGGAGCCCAGAGTGGGAGAGGAAAGAATCACGAATCAAAGGAATCCTATTCAAGGACTTGAAGTGTCCTTACACTGCAGAGCTGAGTTGGGGAGAGCCATCCATTGACTATGAGCAAAAGCCACATCCTTGGCTGAACTATGTCAGAGATGGCAAAGCCGAATGCAGGCTACCTCCATTGTGTCCCCTCACCTGGTTAAAGATGGGCTGCTTTACAGCCTTTCAAAACCTCCCCACCTGAAAACCTCCCACTGCTTTCCCTCTTTGGACAGGTAGCCCAGAAGGAGTGCCCAGCATGGTCGGCGATTCAGAAGGTAACTACTGGTTTCCTCTCTCTCTCTCTCTCTCTCTCTCTCTCTCTCTCTCTCTCTCTCTCT